GGGGTGGGGGGGGCGGGAAGGGGGAAAGAGGAGAGAAAAGAGGGAGTTGGAGCTCCAAAAGTGAGTGCGAGGGAGGCTGGAACCCCCGGAATTATTGGGAGGGGGGTGGGAGCCCCAAACTAAAAGTCGGGGGGTCTGGGGATTTAGGGGGCAATGGGGAAAGGGGTGGGAGAGGGGGGAGAAGTGGGGTGGGAGAGCAGGAAAAGAGGTGCCATGGGCGTCCCTCTGTGTCCCCCATCACTGGAGCCCTGCAGCGGTTCCCTGGGGCTCCAGGGGGGTCGGATCTGCCCTGGGGGGTCCCCAACCCCGCTATCCATACCCGGGGGGCTGATGGGGGGTTTCCCCCCAGCCAAGAGCCGGTGCTGCGGCGGTCGTGGGGCAGAGGAGGGTGGAAAGGGGGGTCCGAGGTGGCTCCCTGAGCTCCCGACCTGCTGTGGGGGGTTGGAGGATGATGGGGGGGGCACCCCCTGACCCGTGTCCTACACACACAGGGGTGTTCCAGTGGATGAGAAGGACCGAGTGTTACTTCATCAACGGCACCGAGCGGGTGAGGTACGTGGAGAGATTCATCTACAACCGGAAGCAGTTCGTGCACTTCGACAGCGATGTGGGGGTCTTCGTGGGGGACACCCCGTATGGGGAGAAGGCGGCCAGGTACTGGAACAGCCAACAGGAATATCTGGAGGACAGACAGGCTGTGGTGGACTGGTACTGCCGACACAACTACGAGGTGTTCACCCCGTTCACTGTGAACCGCAGAGGTGAGGGCGGGGCAGAGCGGGTCCCTTCGGGAATTCCCCTGCCCCGGGAACGACCCTGGAACCCCTTAAACCCTCCCTGGGAATCACCCCAGACCCCTCAGTCCTCCCTGTGCCAAATCCCGTCGTCTTTTTCCCCATCCCAGTGCCCCCCAGTCCATTCCATCGTCTTCCTATACCACCCGAGTCCATCCCAGTCTCTTCCAGTGCCCTTCATTCCATTGCGATCCATTCCAGTTTTTCCCAGTGTCCCCCAGTCCATCCCAGTCTCTCCCAGTGTCCCCCCGCGTCTCCACCCCGCTGGTGCCACCGCTCTCCCTGCCCTCAGCCAATCACAGCGCGTTTCCCTGATGACGCATCAGTTGCCGGGCAGACCCGCAGCGCAGAGTTCCCTCTCCAGGACTCAGCCTCCCAGTCTCGCTCAGGTCCTTCCCAGTCCCTCCCAGTCCTTCAGAGACCCTCTGATTCCACTGCCAGACCCTCTCACTCCATTCCAAGTCGCTCTCAGTTCACTCCCACATCTCCCAACTCTCTCCCCAGTGACTCCCCCAGCCCATCCCCTTCTACCCCAGGCTATTCCCAGTCTCCCCCACTGCCATCCCAGTCCCTCTCAGTGCCACCCAAACCACTACCAATGTCCTACAAGCCCTTCACCCTCTATCCCAGTTCCCCCCAGCTCAGCCCAGTGTCTCCCCCGTCTCTCCCAGTGCCCCCCACCGTGTCCATCTCGCTGGTGCCGTCGAGCTCCCAGCCCGGCCCCGGCCGCCTGCTCTGCTCCGTGATGGATTTCTACCCTGCGCCGGTGCAGGTGAGGTGGTTCCAGGATGGGCAGGAGCTGCCGGAGCACGTGGTGGCCACCGACGTGGTCCCCAACGGGGACTGGACCTACCAGGTGCTGGTGATGCTGGAAATCCCCCCCCGGCGCGGGGTCACCTACACCTGCCAGGTGGAGC